ACTGCTTAATCATTCATGATAAGGTGGTTGAGATTTCTTAGTACTCAAAAAGATATTTCTTTTAGAGCAAAGCTAAAATATGCAGGCAATGTAAACCAGTTAATATTTCAGGTTGGGGAAAGATAAAACACGATATTTTAATATTTTAAGGCCATGGGATAGTTATAGGCCATGGGATAAAGAGTATCGCTGTTAGAAACTTTCCAAATGCCCAGAGTTCAGACAGAAAGTGGGGTACCACCATGCTGGAGACAGGAGCAAAAGAGTACAGATATCTATCCCAAATCTAACTTCTGTATTTTAATAGCGTGTGTGTGTGTGTGTGCATGTGTGTGTGTGTGTGTGTGTGTGTGTGTGTGACATGGTGTGCCCATGTTTCTGTGTGTGCATACGCCATGTGTATAGGGTTCCCAGCAGAGGCCAGAATTCGGGTCAGAGTGGCAAGTGACTGTGGGTTGCCCAGTGTGGGTTTTGCGACAGAACTCAGGGTTCTCTGAAAGAGCAGCAAGTGCTCTTTTTTTTAATTAAATTTTTTTACATTAATTACATTTTATTTGCTTTGTATCCCAGCCATAGACCCCTCCCTCATTCCTTCCCAATCCCACCCTCCCTTCCTCCCTCCTTCATCTCCTCCCATGCCCCTCTCCAAGTCCACTGCTAGGGGAGGTCCTCCTCCCCGTCCATCTGACCCCAGCTTATGGAGTCTCATGAGGACTGGCAGCAAGTGCTCTTAATCACTGAGCCATCTCTCCAGCACCTGATCCTGCACTTACAGAAAGGTGTGACATTCTGCTCATTACGAATTTTTAAATATTAATTTCACATCTAAGAAGTACTGTAATAAACATTAATTGCTGAGGACTTTTTACATCCTCTTAAATCTTAGCCTCCCAGCGAGCACTCCCTCACCCTGAATGCACATTTAGCCACCTCTTGGAACCTCAAGTTACTCACCTAGAGGACTGAGTAAGGCAAGCCAGGCATGGCGGCACGCACATGCCATCCCAGGATGTCCAAGGCTGCTTACCCAGTGTACAAACCAACAGTAAACATACACAAATACAGGGAATACCGTGAAGGCAGGTGAGACTGCACGTACACTTCTTTACTGAAAGTGTTAACACGTGACCCTATGCAACTTGCAAGATAGAATTCTTACAGGAAGTATTATAGTTAGAGATGTGACGTCTATGGCAACTGTAAGTCCTACGCTTGGTGAAAGAAATTGAATCAGAAGCCTTAAAGGAATGTTCAAAGTTTGACACACCCATCTCTAGCAAACTTCTAAAGAAAACGGCAAACAACTGCAGCCCAAGCAATCAATTTCCTTTCTGGCTTCCATAATTAATCTTCATTTGGAAATTCAGTTTGTCCTTAGACTCTTTTGCTTTATAGTTTTTAAAACAGTCAGTTCACTCAAAATGAACAATTAATTTAGGAAGAACATCTTTAGTGTTTTCTCCAAAAGTTAAAAAAAAAAAAAAAAAAGATAGCTCAAACAAGTGAAAGCATAAAGGAGGAAGAAGATTTTTGAAAACCTGAAGTGTAAGGTTGATTCCAGGTAGGAAGAGGAAGGAAGGTGAGACCCTGCTTGGGCTAGCTAATGATTGATTGTTCTTAACCTGGCTAAAATTCAGCACTAACTCCACCTTTAAAGCACGACTTCTGACGTATGCCCTCTTAGGCTCTTACATCAACGCCTGGCATCTGCAGTGAAACCTTTCTGCACTCAGCAAACTCCAACTGTATAGATAGGCAGGAGTAACTGTCCAGACCCTTCCTTCCTCTCTCCGGCAAGCGAGGAGAGGTAGAGCCACTGTTGGCGCTAAGACGGCCATCACTTTCCGAGGAGAGCTTGGGAAACTTTCCAGGGTCACTCAAGAAACTTATAACAGAATCAATTGATTTTCATCCTTTGCTTTATTAGTTGTGATTTAGGAGAGAGAATGGCCCTGTTTACACAGCTGTAACGTGTCAGGACCTGTGGTTCGTTATTGGCTTGAGACCTCTGAGTTGCAGTCCGTTCTCAGCAGAATCAATCCGAACTTGAAAACATTCCCTGTAGGATGTGTGCACACATCTACACATCTCTTCGCATAAAGCACGCCCTGAACAACTGAAAATCGTATTCACGTGAGGTGAGTTACAAGTTCACCTTCCAAAAATTGGCCCTGCCTTGCTGCTCTCGGCATGTGTGCGATGGGAAACAGAGGGCTGCGGATGCCAGTTAACTGGGTGCCCAGCGTCGGCGAAGGTGTTGTCCTCAGCCGCCCGTCAGACCTCAGCCTCTGCAAGTGGGAGTTGCTGGCTGTTTAACAAGCCTTCAGAGTACTGCCAGTCTAAAATGGCTGCTTGGTAATACTTTAATTGCAGTTTCGTGGAAACAAATTGCTTTTTAACTGCAGTAAGCATTCCTGTGACTTGGCTGGACTGACAATAGGTGAGCCTCAGTAACAAAACCAAGATGAACATTAACTTGGTTTGCCACAGACTCCCAAAGCGAGGGCGAGGCAGTGGGTGCCTGGGATGGGCAACGCCCCCCACCCCTACCCCCAGGGAAATCTCTTTGGGCAACTACTTAATTCAGAACAATGATTTAAGCTTTATGAAAACTCTTCCTTCTGACCTTGATAGATGGCTCTTGGGTTCACTGTTTGTTCCATAATTTATTGACCCTAACAAATATTTTATGTAACCAGTACTGCGCATTAGGATCTTACTATATTGACATTTAAAGGCATTTAATTTAAGAGCTTCATTTTAGATGATTAGTTGTTTCAAATATCAGTGAATAAGGGCAATAGAAAGAATTTAAATATAGTTAATATTAAGAGACCGGCAATGGCACAGGCTTCATTTCCATGCAGCAGTCCCCTCATTGTGTTTTAGAAGATACAACAGTCCATATTAAACTATTCTGATTAAATCAGGAAGAGGTGGAAATAGTTTCTTGGGGGGAACGATTTGTTTTGGAATGTCTTTGGGCTCCTGGGCTTTGCAAGATGTGTGAGTCTAGACAGGCAGATAGGTTAAAAACAAACAAACAAACAAACAAACATTAAACCCCTTTAGAGGACAATCTTCTCACAAAATTATTTCATTAGCAAGAGTGACAGTTTGCGTGACTGAGACATTTATATGTATCATAAACACAGTTTTTTAGTCAGGAGTTCAGCCAGGCTCGGTGAATGCCTGCTCTTATTTTAATTGTGCTTGCTTGTAAGGACCGGGGCCTGTCTTGCTGTGTGATGGGGCTCAAGTCAAGTCCTTTCAGAAGAACACACACCCACAACATCACAAATGCAATGGATGAAAGACGGGTAAGCTCAGGGTTTTTGTTTTTGTTTTTTTTTTCCAAAGGAATGATGGGTTTGGGGGAGGCACCACACACAATCGCTGCTCACATCAGGATAAACCTGAGTGGTTTTAGTGGCTGTCTATCCACAGAGCATCCCCACCACAGGCGGGTTTTATTGTCTGAAATGCCTCTGGTTTCAAGAAAGTGTTTTACCTAAAGCAAGACTCCTACTTAAATATGTTCTATTGTATATTCCTAGCTCCATTAGTCCTTCTCCAATTTAGCACATCAAAGAGAAGCCCTCATCACGTGCGTGTGGATTATACTAACATGAGTGACATTTGTAATCTTATAGGTCTGCAACCTAAGAAATGCTTTTAGAAGCTCGTTAGGAAATATGCCAGTGCTTGAGGAGCCATCCATATAATAGTTCATTTAAAAGGCAGTAATGACCTTTGCCCTCCCCATTACCGTATTACTAAGTTATTGGCCACAGCCTTTGAATCTCTACACTGCATGTGACATGAGTGCTTTTGCTAAAAACATAAGACGCCTGCACGCCTCTGAGCAACAACCCCGCCCACTCACCATTCCTGGAACAGACCAGAGTCTATTCAGAAAGTATCTTAAGAGGAAAGGGGGCCAATCTGGTTTTAGAGCCAGAACAAGTTTAGAGAAATTCTCCAGGGATCGAACTCAGATATTCTGTGTTCATGTATTTCTTTATCTTGTGCCATTCCCCTTGCATTTTCTTTGTATAAAACGCAAGAACGATTCACTTTAATATTCTGCCTTTACATTCTCCTACAGGAGGTCTGCAATCTCCACAACTAACGCTTACTCCTGACTTGGGATCTTTGGAAGGAGGAAGTTAGCAGAGAATGCTGCTCAGCCAACACGTTTCTGTTTAAACACAGCGTCTTCATCAGGAGCATTGCTCAAACAGAATAAAATGTCATTTTTAGAAAACAGCACTAGCAGCATGAAGGCCCTGAGCGTCAGCAGCCTGTGGGGTTAGAACTGAAGTTCGCCCTCATGTAAGCAGCCTGGGTGCCACCGTGGCATCCGGGCCCATTTGGCTCTTGCTAGGTCCAGCAGGAACTGTGCAGCTACTGAAGCATGGGGTGCCTCACCTTCCGTAGGAGCCTCTGCGGGCACAGCTGGCACTGTGGTGCCAAAAGAAGACCTGAATCCTCCCCTGGTAAACACAAGGAAAAGGAGTCAGTGAAGAAGATCAAAAGGAGAAAGGCCACAGCAGGCAAGAGTCCCAGATCTCCCCAAAGGCTGCTGTGCCCATCCAAGGCCACCATGGCCAGAGTGACTTTGGATTCACACAAGCGGCTCTAGAAATACTATTGCCTTCCAAAGCCACAAACTTGGTGTGAGGTTCTGCTGTGATTTTTAATGTGCCAGTGACCAATACCCAAAGCTTTCCTGAGAGCAAAGCTGAAACATCCAACAAGTACTCATGTATAACACCAGACTCCGATGCAAAGTGCTATTCACACGGTAGTCTGAAGTTTACAATGGCCTGGTTAGATAATCTGATGATTACTTTATTAGCCTAGAGTGAAATACAGGTATCAAATCTATTCCACCCACCCCAAATTTAAATGTTTGCTAGAGACAACAACAAAAACACCATGAGTTCTTCCAAAATACAGAAGAGAAAAAGCAGTGTTTAAACCCAAACTCTGTTGAATATTTTTCTTTTAAGTTTTTATTATTTAAATACACCATACTAGAGCAAATGTCTCTGAAAATATCACAAATAAAAGATTTTTTTTTCTTCATTCAGCAAATTAGAAGTAGGGGGGATTTCTACATAGTAGCGGCTATGAGCCTGATTTTTTTTTCCTTTTCTTTTTTTTTAACCTTTGTCATGGGCAGAGCAACATCAGGACAAAAACACTCACATGCATACATACATTGTATTTTACAGAGATACAATAAAAGTGTTTGTGATCGAATATCACAAAAGCCTTGTCTCTTTCCTTTTAACTCATGTTCAGTTTGATTGAAACACATTTCATTACAACACTTAAATATACAAAGAGCAAACAGAATGTTGTTAAGGTAAAACACAGGGTACAGACTGGCCGGTGCCCTGCTAATTGTTAATGAGGGTAGAAAGCGGATTTGGATGCTTCTTTTAATTAGCTTCATTAGTCATTTCCCTCCCCCCCAAGCACCCTCCCCCCCTCCCCCAAGATGTCCTTCGGTGGATCTTTTTTCATTTTTGCTACCGTCTCCCATTAGCCCAGGTTCATGGAGTCCTTAATGTCCATATTCAGTCATTTTAATACACCAATAAATGCAGGAAGGGCACTCAAGACTAAAGAAGGTGCGATGGCATGGAGCTGGCTACAAAGGTGACTTGTTTACTGAAGACACACGGGATCCACCTGCGATGAACAAACTCTGAGATGAAGGCACGCATTCTGCATCACTCTGGCCTTTCAGCAGACCTGCAAGAAATAAAAATGGGCATCTTAGCTAAACTGCTAAATGGGAGCTGTATAAACTCAAACAGCACAGCTTTTGGGGTCTCCTCACTCACTAATCTTTTATTAGATTACTTTCCTACTGTGACTTGACAGAGGCTCTCTGTGCGCCTTACTCCGAGCAGAACATGTTTTACTAGCAGAGAAAATAAGACGGTAAATGGACTCTGAGAAGGTTCTGGTGTAGACTTCTAACATCCCTTAACTTCGGCAGAATTCTCTCCAAAAAGAATCAATTAGGTCTTGACTCATAGGAGGATCTTAAAATTTAAAAATAAAAAATAAAACCAAACAAACAAAGAGTCACAGGCCAGTCACGGCCTTATTCATAAGAAGTTTTGAACTCAGACTTGTCCCCTGTAGCAAGTGACTTAAATGGCCTGCACCTCAGTTTCCTCCCTTCAAAGGTAAAGGCAACAAAGCTATTACTTAGTATAAACGAGATAGTATTATCATTCTACTGTGTTCACAGAACAGCTCTTTCTCATGCTGGCTTTTCCCTCTAGGACACATGGGTGACAAATTCTAAGTTCAAATATACAAGTATTTTTTTTCCTCACCATTTCCTACCTTTGTCATAATGTCGCATAAATATTACAGCATAGAACTACATGTGATATGCTAATGACATGAACGGACTGGAAAGCATGGTCCGGTGTGGATGCCTCGCTCCAACATCAGAAGGTACAAACGGCAACACGCAGCCGCCAGACACAATCTGTTTGCAATTACCAGAGTGGAATGCTGTCTATTAGGTTTTGAGGGTTTTTAAATGACATTTGGAGCATCTCAGGAAGTTTTCCTTCCACCCGTCCCCTAACTTACCAAAGACCTGAGTCTACCACCCCCACTTCCAAGCTAATTAAAGTGTGGAGACTCAATTCCCCAGAGTGGAAGCTCGGTGTGAGAAAGGTAATTTGTCTGTCCAGAACAAAGATGCACCAGCAGCCAGCAAGCATATTTAATAAATGAGCATCAAATGTCCTCTACGATGGATGCACACAAGACCAATTATGTAACTAAGGGGAAACGTGAAGTGATATGTAATCTAAAAAGCTTTGCTAAATCTTCCTCCGACTGAGGCACGCACACACACACACAAACACACACACACTAAAAATAAAAATAAAAAAAATCCTAGAAGGTCCCCTTATACCTCTGAATGGAAGAAAAATTCCAGAGTAGGCAGGAATCTGTCTAGAAGGAGGGGAAAAAAGGAGTCCCAATTTTCTGATTTTTCTATTACTCTAGAAAGCATGGTTTGGGGACCAGCGAGGCCTCCTCCAAATGGTAGAAGCTGTAAGAATGGGTAGCCTCAAGACCACTGAGTCCAGACTTCAGTCAATATGAGATTCCAACTGAAAAACGTTAAACTTGTTTTCCTCAGAATATTGAAAAGCCAACGCTGCAGTACAGAAACTGAACAGGACATTCCTAATACTAAAGGAAAAAAAAACGTTTCAGGAGAACAAAAGTTTACAAGGACCAGATGATGGAGGCTCATACTTCCCATACAATGAACGGCCTTTAAAGGGTCATACAAATAATCAATTCATTATTTTTAAGACAGAGGATGGCTAAATATATTTACTATGCATCATGTACTAAAATGTAATTGGCTCTGCGAATGGAAGGAAAATGGCCAAAATAAATATCCAATTTTCTCAACCCCCAAACACGGAGAATGAGAAAAAAAGAAAATAATAAAATGGAACTATTTGTCATTTCTCCTCATCTCATCTCCCGTAGAAAAGAAACGCCACAGGGTTTTGGGAAAATCATTTTAAAGCATTCTCCAAAAAGCAGTTCATGTTCCAGTAGGAAGTGTGTTTTCATTAACTCTTCCCTCTTGCCCTCTCATTAATATCTCTCTGGACCACACTCAGCTTGCCCAGAACCTTTATTTACAAAAACTACCTTGTGAATCGACTGCGCTCATGGTGAGCAGAGCACCAAGGGCAAAAATGTGAGACGTGTGTGCCAACAGGGAAATGTGCTTAATTAACACACACCCCCAAACACAGCATCTCACCAGAACCCGACAAGATCATTTCCTTAAGTTTTCCTTCTTTATGCCTTTTATGTGCAATTAATTTTTGGAGGCCACCTGTCTCCCTCTGTTTTAGGAGGGAAGGACCTTCCAACACTAAGATAATATACACTAGCAGTTTCTTTTTCATCACCTGAACCATACTTTGTGTTCCAACATGAACACCCTACAACTCTCCATTTTGAACAAGGTGTGGAAAGCAGACGCCTCCGATGAAAGGCACAACATAGGCAATCCTGTAAACACAAAAAATGACCGTCTTCCCACTTCCTGACACCCTTCACTGACGTCCTCAGATACTAAATAAGGTGCTTCTGGAGTCCTGCTCACCACTCTAAAGTGTCTTCTGCACTTAGTTCTAGCATGACCACTGCCTGTGTTCAGTCTCCACAATCCAATACCCATCCATCTTCTCCCTCTGTCCTTCTGTTCTCACCATGCATGCTGGCATAAGCTGTAACAATGTGTGTGTGTGTGTGTGTGTAACAGAAAATAGCATAAAACTACAAACAGAGCAAGTTAAGACACACGCTGGGAATGTATTAAGCTTTTACATTAAAAGGGGGGATGAGATTCACCATCTTATATGCAGTACTTCTGTAATTATAGATGGCCTTGCCTCTAGTTCAAAATGTGTTACCTCGAAATATTTATGTCACCCACTCACTGCTCTCAACTCTGTCCTATAGACTGACTTCATTAAAATTCAAATTATAAAAACCTGTAAGTCCTTCTGGATGCTGGCAGTCCTTAAAGAAGCCTCCACACATTATATGAGGTAACTGGCTAATGTGCAATAAAAAAATATAAGATTCTGATTCTTAAATAGTTATTTTGTATTCCTCCCCTATTAGTAAATTAAATAAAACTGCACAATCTCATGTAATT